TTTTGACATTTTCGAATGTGGTTTATTTGAAATTGCAATAAGCGATTCATAACGACAATTTGACTTAAAATACTAAGTGTGTGGTACCAAATTATTGGTAAAAAATGCCAAAAATTTCCAAATATGCTAATGAGCCACCCTCGTTCCATTTACAAAAATTGAGATATGATTAAAAACACGATTTGGGAATCTTTTAACCGATCAGGACAAGATACTAAAAACATTAGACCATCAAATCTATTTTTCCAAGGCTCCTTGATTAAAAATTAGTGTCTTTAACACAGCATTGAAATTAAAAATATAATTTGGTTTTAAGCGAAAATGTCAAAAGTTGATATACGATATGTCATTCTATTCAGAGTGTCATTTTCTATCGAATAAAGTAAAAAAATAATGAGGGTGCCCTTTAGAAATCAAAAGTTATAGTCATTTCCGGTGAAACAGGAAGTGACCGAAAAGAACTGAATACGTCTATCAATCCTAATTTATGCCATATACTAACATACCAAATCTCGATTTTTTATCAGAAAAAATAAAAAAGTTATAGGGGGTGAGCCACTTTTGAGACGCACCCGGTATAACAAATCAGGGGCAAGTTAATTCATGTAAAAATAATAAGCTCATCCTCATGGCAACGACATAACCTAAACGTAAAAATTATCATAAATTGTAAAATTGGCATTCAGATGTTTTTTCATCGTGAATAAAAAATCACGTTCACAGGTATAACTGTGTATACGAATTCTCGTTTTAGCCCAACTCTAGTTTCCATCTTTACCAACTAAATCTAAAAAAAAAAGATTTGGTTTTTTTAATGGATGTCTCACTGACCCTCTATGATGATAGAATTGCATGCGAAGAATTGTGGAAGAAAATTAGCAATTTGATATTTTTCACGGAAAATAAATATCGTAAAGCTAGAATGTTACAAATCTTAAAAATGTATGATTCTAATTTTGTACAATATCTGATGAAAATAAGATTCGTTTACAGTTAGATAAGCAATTACTCTGGACAAGTAATAAAATCATTTTACTGTAATAAAACTATTTTATTGTTTCCTTACCTGAAGGATGTCGCCAATATTGAAAGCGATGCCAGCTTGTGCGCAAGGTATGAGATCGTCTTCGAGAGGATCATAGCAAAACTGAGCTCTAACGAATATCTAAAAACGGGAAAAAAATAGAGACCATTAAATTCTATTTCTGCTCAAAAATAGGGGTATTTATCATTGCAACAGTTGTGTTAGTGAAATAAAACTTTAATTTGAACAATTCGCATTCGAGGTGTCGCCATATATAGATATTATCATTCCCCATTATCAAGTAGACACTAAAAACAAATATCCTAAGCTACACGATTTATACACGAATTATAATTATTCAAGTAAAAAAAGGCAGATGATAACCATTGCGATTGTGCCACAATGACTCGAGCATTGTCTTTCTTTACAATAGTTGTTCAAGCAATTGGTAGTGCCTAATATTTAATTCCAGTAACCATTGTATGTTAATCAAATTGAAATTTGACCCGAAAAATTAAACTACAAAAACTACGAAAAAAAACTACAAATGGTAAAAAAACAATGATTTTACACAATAATTTAATGAAATAGAATAATTTACATGATTTTTTTTATTTTATAATTGATAAATGATTTTCGTGATAAACTTTGTTAATAAATATGTCGCCAACCTCGCATTTTTCTGTCTACATCTGGTTTGTATATCTTGGGTACCTTCATTTTGTACAGTAAGGTCTACATAGTCTACAGTTTATCTACGATACAATTCAAAAAGAAACGGCGTCACGGATGACTTTGAGATGAAGGTCGCTGTCATTTTATATGTAAAATTATATGGGAAATGCAATAGGATCGCTCTTTTCTAGCCAACTGGTTGCTGTTTTTTTCGATAGCACTGTAATTTCGGTTTCTAGTAAACAATTTTACGGCCACTGAGTCTGATATTTATTTTACCAAACGATGTCATACCAATACCTAACTGTTACAATGATAAAAAATAATACAACGTTTTTTTTTTAAATATAACTATCAACAGAAAAAAACAGCACTCAAATATAGGTAGGTACATATTTTTTTATTTTATAAAATTTCTCTATAAGCATACCTACTAAAAATAGAGGGTATAAATGAAGACTAACAAAAAAAATCAGTTTGTAGAAAGCTCTATGTAGAACAATAAATGTGTAGATTCATAAAAAATTCTAAATTGACTGATATGGCATTTTTTTACTTCAAAAATTATTCTAGAAATCAAAAAATATATAGTCGAATTTTACAACTCGAGCCGATATTAAAAAACAACTATTTAAAAAAATCGGCTACTGATTTTTTTTCTGCACTTATACATCTACACCCTGTATATTTAAAGCATTTAAAACAGCGCCTAAAAATATAAAAAAGCAAATATACAGCACATCACATCACCAGTAAAACTCTGATTCTCTACTTTGTTGGTACTTACAAGTACTGGCAGGGGTTTGATCCTGAACAGCTAAACAAAAAAAACACAAAATTTCATATAATCGTCAATTTTTAGAAAATTTTGATGATAACACTACGAAAAACAAACTAAACAAAGCTGTTTGGATCGAAAATAATATAAAAATAACGAAATTAAACATAAATAGCTGTGTCGGCCCCTAAAACTATATGTTACTGCCTGGGGTATATAAAAAATAAAGATACAAATCATATTTACTGGTATGATGAGATGTGCTAAGCAATACTAATAGGGAAATGAAATAAAAATGATCGCAGGATGTATTAGTTTTTGGGAAGATGTCATACACTGATATCCGTCATTCTCTGAAATCCCTAATCGTTTCACGTATTTCCGGCAAGCGGCATAACTCTTTAATTGACTCATCGATTGAATGTGAATCTCGGGGCATTCCCTGTAATGAAGGAATTATTTCAGTGAAACGCCCTAATTAATTGATTCATTACAGTTCCCTTGTTTCTCTTTTTTTTTGTCTTTTATTAATTATTAGGGATGAAAAAATAATTTATGGCAATTATACCACTGAATTTATTTTATACTTGTGTTTTTATTTCTTATTTCGTTACTTTTTGTATGCTATGAACTGTATGTTCTTTATTTATAGTGTGTTTGGATATATTTTACGTACAATCCATTTGGTATAGTCTGTGAAACGAATAACTTTGAATTTGACAGTTCCCGCGGGCTTTTCTAGTGTTAGGTTAGCAACTTGCAGCCATGCATTTTTCTTTGTTGTCTGACGTTTTTTACGTCATAAATGTATATTTTTAGTTTCAGCTGTTTTATACAGGTACGAGTAATGGTTCTCGAGATATTTGGAATCAAAATTATCAATACCTATCATCATTGACATAAATTAAACGTGTTGACTAAATAGTTATTGGACTGAAATTATAAATTTGAAATGTTTTTGTGCCAAAAGTTCAACAGAAACTGTTTTATCATCATTTTTTAGCAGCAATATTTATGATTCATTTAAAAAAAATAAAAATTTCCCAAATTTATTATTTCAGTCAAATAACTATCTACTCACACAACGTGTGTATTTTTGCGAAATCGAAATAAAAATGAAACTTGTACACTAAGCTTTTTAGGACATACATTTATGCGAACTTTTTTACTTATTTTTATCTGCAGAATATGCTGCCGAAGTTTCCGGAATACAGTTCGGACCACCCTGTACATTTTATCTTAAATATCGTAACTACGGAAAATACAGTACTTGATGCACTAAAAGGCAACACTGTCCTAAGTTAAATGATCGCCTAAAACAGGCAGACAGTGGAATTTAATTAATGTAGCTTATTACGGCGTTTCACTGAAATATTCCGTCATTACAAGGAACGATTGAGATCTATAGTCAAACGATGTACCAATTGAAAGGCTACGTTTTGCCGGTAATACGTGAATTGACTAGGCATTTCAGGAAATAACAACCTATATTTATTTATTCATCGAAATCTATATTTAGAATGTGAACTCCATCGATAAGCGGTACAGTTGAAACAAAAATTGAACTTATATACTTTCTTTAAAATATTTTTCGTTTTATAAATGATTGGATACATAAAATTATAAAATATAAATAAAGACATCAACGAATTCCAAAAATATGTACTACTTCAAACAAAAGTAAAGCTGCACCACTAAAAGTTTACTTAGTTATATTCTCCTGTACAGTTTCATTGTGACTAACTAATTTGAAATTTTCAACTAGTAGAAACGTTTAACAAGTTACGAACAAATTTGCATCCAAACTAGAGAATATATTTTGCAATCAATGAATATTTTGTCAACAAAATGTGTTGTCAAAGAGTTTGTTCCCTGTTTTAATTGGAATGTTTCAATAAATTCATTGCTCGGTGAAGTTGAAAATAAAAAAAAATGCTGAAATAATTTATAAAAATCAAAAATACGAACAAACATATTTTATGTTTCTCTAGTGTATGTACAGGAATCGTGTAGAAATATTTTAAAATATCTATTATACATTTTGAAAAGTAGTTCTAGTGTAGTAATTTGCACAAAATAGGAGTAGTATAACTCTAATAGTCTAAGTTATTTTGCTATAGACACGCCTTTTGATTTTTAGGACTTTCCATCCTATTTTCATGTTTTTCTTAATTTTCTTTAAAAACGGTAAGGAAATTTGGAAAAGTATAAACGAAAATAACCATTTTAGAACAAGGAAAATTTCTTATGAAAAATTAATTTTTCTCAAAATGTAAATAATAAAAAAGTTTTTCCTCTTGTAAAGACAATCCGGGGTCATATTGTGTAATAACTAAGATGTGTAAGATTTCTAAAGTTGTCGATATTATATTTTATTATTTACAGAAGTTTGGTCAAACAAATTTACACACACACACACACACACACACACACACACACACATTGTATCATTTACCTCAATTTTGACTTGATTTAGAGGCTGTATATTTAAAAAGAAGAGCACATGTTTTGTAGAAATAATAAATAAATAAATAAAATATTAATTATAAATTTAAAAAACATGTTCTACATTGGAAATTTTCACAGAATAATCAGTATGAAATAAAATACTGATCATAAAGGATATTAATTCTAGAAATGTAGGACACTAGATTTATAGAGTTAAGAGCTAGAAGGTGAAAAATGTTACAATCCTTTATTTTTTACAAAGTACTACAATTGCCTCCATTACGATTCGAGTTGGAGGTGGTAAATTTAAAAATAAGTTCACATCCTTTATTTAAAACAACTAAAATACACTTTCAATATTATTCATAATTTACAAGTTACATAAAAACGACAAAAAGGTTTATTTATTAAGAATAATTTAGAGAGTTTATTGTCCATCACATGGAAAACATCAATCTAATTAGAAAAGATACAACTAAAATTATAAAGTATGAAATCGTCTGGTATCCCAAATCCGTAAAAAAATACAGTCTAGAACAGGGTTTCTTAAAGTGTGGTCCACGGACCCCTTAGGGGTCCATAGCATGTGTATCAGGGTTCCCCACGGTCCGCATTACGCCAGTTAACTGTAAATATATTTATTAAGAAAAGATATAGTGTAGGGCGGCGAATTCAGTAGGTATTTAATCACTAAACACTACGCGATGCCCGTAAGGATAAAAAAAAACAAAGTTGAAGCTGTTCCCTTATCAAACGATGTTATTCGTTTAAGAATTGTTGAAATGTCGTCAATGTTTTACAAGTCGTTGAAGAATTAATTGCTTCACCGTTTCCATTCAGCATTCAATTGGATGAAAGCACCGATGTGTCACAATGTAGCCAACTCTTGCTATTTGTCCGTTACGTACAACAAGACACACGTAGTATAAGAAGAGTTTTTTTTTGCAATTCACTTTTGGCTACAAAAGGCTTCAGATGTTGTTGAAATGACAAAAAGGTTTTTCGAACAAAATATAGACTTGAAGAATAAACTTGGTAGTATCTGCACGGACGGAGCTACCCCGATGCTTGGTAATACGTCTGGTTTCGCGGCTTTGGTCAAGAAAGAGATCCCTCATGTTATAATAACTCATTTTGTCTTACATCGACATGCTTTGGCTTCACGGACTTTACCTACATTTATGAAGGCAGTTATACATGTGTCAAAATAATTAACTTCATCAGAGCAAGAGCTTTAATCCACCACGTGTTTAAAAGACTTTGTCAAGAAATGGGGTCAGAACATGAAGTACTGCTTTACAACACAGAAGTTCGTTGGCTGTAAAGGGGACAGATCTTAAAGCGATTGTTTGAGTTGAGGATAGAAGTGTTACTTTTTCTAAAAGATGAAGGAAATTCACTGTCTGAATATCTTTCAGAGCAAAGATTTTGTACGGGGCTAGCGTATTTGGCTGAAATTGGATGAGATTAACTTGTCTCTTCAGGGCTCTGCGGTGACCATCGTGGATGGATCTGAACGGTTTTAGGCTTCATACGTAACTGCCACTTTGGAAAAGGAGGGTAGAATCTGGTAACTTTGCAAATTTTCCGTTGTTTGAAGAGTCGATAGCACAAGGTGACGGCAACACGATATCAAAAATGCTACAGAAAGAGGTGCCTAAACATTTGGATACATTGCAAACTTCTTTTGAAGGCTACTGTAACTTATAATCGCGTGAAAATGAACCGCGGGTGCGGGGTCCATTTATAATCGACACGGATAATATCAGCAATGAAGATCTCATTAAAGATGACTTAATTGACATGATATCAAAAGAAGTTTTGAAAGTTTTGAGTTTGGTGTTCTTTAAGTCAAGCTTACCCTCTTCTTGTCAAGCGAGCTATGTCCGTTCTGATACCATTTGCTACTACGTACCTTTGCGAGGTACATACGGAGTAGCGTCGGTTCTGGTCTCAATAAAAACAAAAAGTTGTAACCGATTGAACGTCGCAGATGATATGGGCCCTGCCTTGTTATTTAACGTTCTCATTGAGGCTAAACAGCAGCATCCTTCTAACTAATTTACTAGTGTACGTGTAATAAATCTACTAAGAAACCTTTTCTTTTTATGTAAATAAGGTTTTTTTTTGTTTTCCTTTATTATTTCTGATAGGCGTCCGTTGAATTGTACAGGGTGAGTCAACGATAGAGTAAAGTCCATTATCTCATTTGTTTCGAGGTTTACAAAAAAATGTGAAATACAAAAGTTATAAGGAAGGTTAAGATACACATTTTAAAATTATTATAGAGTATACAGGGTCCTTCAAAAATGTGTGGCGGATATAACATATGTTTTTTTAAATGGAACTCCCTATTTTTTATTTTATTTTGAGATTCTGCGTAAAATTCTATAACTTTTTTATATATAATGTTATATACCTAAAATTAATAGTTTTTGTAATATTTAAATTTGTTTATACAAATGTTAAATTGCAATGTGGTAAAAAATTGTCAGTTGTACCATTGTTTCTGAAGTTGGAATACCAAAATTTGGTATGAGAGTTCTATAGAGATTAAAAAGAAGATATATGTTAAGATATTTTAGTTAAATGCTACAGGGTGTTCAAAATATATTTATGAATTTCAACTACTTAAAATTAAAAAATCTCAAATTTTTTAAATGGTACACCCTATAAATTTTCATTTTTTCTGATAGATTTTGAAAATCTCTTCAACTTTTATTGAGTATGTCATATACCTATTTTTAATAGTTTGCGATTTATTCCATTTTTTTCTATTTTTACCCTAATTTTAATAAAATTACGCTATAACATCATAGTTACCGTAACAAAACAAACATATTTATTACTTATTTTTAATAAGTAGTTTAATAATCAGTTACAATTAGTTAGTTTTTTACAAGTTATTATTAGTCAAAATTAACTAACTTTACTCAAATAAACTAAAATCGTAGTCGTGAATTTCTTGGTGTATTTCTATATTATGAAAGATGACATTTGGATTTTCCATCGGGCCGAATAGCCACAGATTATGGTAATGCTAACTAAATTACCTAATTGTTGACGACTACTGATATTGAAATTTTCTCCGACATACAGTAAAGTTTTTGTTCTCGTAGTAATTCTGGTTTATAATTCATTTCGTAAAGCCAATATTACTACTGCCACAAAACCGTCCCATTACACACTGAAAATATTATAATATAATATAATATAAAAATGTTCTCTAGATAATCTACATCTATTCTTGTAGTACTTAGCAAAGTACTATATAATATATAGTACTGAACCAAAAAATATGTTTATTTTGGCTTGTTCGTGTTTATCAGTCACAATGACTAATCCATTTTCAGAAAAATCTGAAACTTACCTATACCTCTAACATTTATACTTATTACAACAAATTAAACTAAAATTCACCTTTTGTTCTTAACTTCCTTAACAGACATATGAAATTTTGATAATAATTATTATTTTTTGTCATGGTAACTATGATGTTATAGCGTAATTGTATTGGGTAAGATATGGGTAAAAATAGAAAAAATTGGAATAAATCGCAAATTATTAAAAATAGGTTGAAGAGCTTTGCAAAATCTATCAGAAAAAATTAAAATATATAGGGTGTACCATTTAAAAAATTTTAGATTTTTTAATTTTAAGTAGTTGAAATTTATAAATATATTTTGAACACCCTGTAGCATTTAACTAAAATATCTTAACATATATCTTCTTTTTAATCTCTATAGAACTCTCATACCAAATTTGGTATTCCAACTTCAGAAACAATGGTACAACTGACAATTTTTTACCAGACTGCAATTTAACATTTGTATAAACAAATTTAAATATTAAAAAAACTATTAATTTTAGGTATATAACATTATATATAAAAAAGTTATATAATTTTACGCAGAATCTAAAAATGAAATAAAAAATAGATTGTTGCCTTTAAAAAAACATATGTTATATCCGCCTCACTTTTTTGAAGCACCCTGTATACTCTATAATAATTTTAAAATATGTATCTTAATCTTCCCTATAACTTTTGTATTTAACATTTTTTTGTAAACCTCGAAACAAATGAGATAATGGACTTTACTCTATCGTTGACTCACCCTGTACAAATTGCGAAAGTGGTCCGTGACTGCAAAAAGTTTAAGAAACCCTGGTCTAGAATGTATCTAACTATACTTTAAATGTCAAAGTTTAGTCAAATCCATGCCTAGACAGACAATAAATGTTTTTTAAATTGAAGATGACTTAAATAACAAAAAAATAAACAAGAACGAATAAAAACAGACGACATTTTGTATTGGAATGTCGTCTATTTTATCTATCCTGTCATGAGGAACAAATTGAAGACGAGCAAAGAATGTCAACGACTTACCTCGCAAGGTGGTGGGGCACTTCGGTATGAGGGAACTATTTTGAACGTGACAGAGCCGCGGGCTTCTCTCTGTCAAAGGAAAAAGAAGAGAAAGAATAAAAAAGTTAATATAATGCCGCTATCGATATCGATAATATACAAAAAACGTGGCAGAATTTATTGGGCAATATGTCACGAGTTTAATAAGAACCGTATATATAAAATGAGAAATAAGAGGGTTGGTCATGTTTTTTTTGTAGCAAGACATTAATAATAGTCGATAGAAAAAAACTTATTTTAAGAACGCCAATTTTAAAAAAAAAATTTTTCAGAATTTTATAATCTCATAAGATATACAGGGTCGCGATATGTATGAAAATCTAAGTCGATTATTAGGTAAAATATACGAGGTACCGCAAAAGTTAAATATAAAAGTTATAGGGTTTTAAATGCCTATTAACGAGTAATAAATTTAAGTATACAGGGTCGGTTCATAAAAATCAAAAGGCACATCGTGCTTACTTTTTTAAATGGAACCCCTGCACATTATTGCATATTTCAGTTCTTCCTTCAATCCTTCAATTCTAAGCAAAAAATGAAATACACACAATGAACCTCAAACCAACCGTTTCCGAGAGTTTTGAAAATATCACTTTAAAAAATCGATTTAATTAATTTCTGATGTGTTCCGTTTGACTTAACGATGCCATTCTGTGAAAACTGTGATAATAATATTTGACAATAGTTTTCAAGTTACCATTTATAGTGTATAGTATAAAATGAGATTATATCAAGTTTGAAAATTATGTATCTTTCATATAACATTTCAAAATCAAATTTTCATAATTCGAAAATTGTTGAATTTAGGTATGTACAGGGTGGGACCATTTTGGTTGTTTCTATAGGTATCTAGGAAACCGTAAGAAATATTCAAATTTTGATCAGCAGTCTCGGTTTCTTTTTTGAAAAATCACAATGGCGCAAAGGGATCGTGGCTATCTTGACCGGTTTCGAAGCTACAGGGGATTCTCAAATTTTGTGTACTTTTTGAAGATGTTCGATAGTCTGTTTATTTTAACAAATACGCAAAAATGAATTGCCAAACATTCTAAAGGCACTTTTCTGTGTAGAATGCAGTGGCGTAGTCAGACTTTTTTTCGAAAAAACATTTTTTAGATATTAACTATACTTATGTTTTTTTAAATACAACCCCTATATATTTTTAAATTTTCTGGATTCAGTTTGGCATGGGCTTATCGAAAATATGTAACACTATATATTTATTTTCACTATTAACTTTAAAATTCCAATTTATTTAAAGATAATTATCTTCCTCGTAGTAGGTCATGCTGAGTATTAAAGGAAACAAGCGAATATCTACTTTCAAATTAATCCATGTATAGCAAATAATTATATTATAAATAAATTCGAACAATACGAAGCAAATAAAAATAAGTGTGACAGAAACCAAAGAACACATTTTAATACAAACCATAGAGAAAGATAATATTTTTTTTCTTCTTTTTATTACTTTCTATGATACAAACGCAAATAGGTTACTTCAATCGGGCTTCTCAGTTAATATAAAAATAAAAGGCAAAGACTACATTAAATGTTCAAACTGCTGCCCATTATTATTTAGACGGAATTGGCACCGTCTCTGCACGCCGCCGCTAACATTTCGAATGTGTATGTTGGTTACACTTTGCAAAGCCACACAAAACTATCTTGTAACTCTTCTAATATTCTATTTGCATTTCGATAACTTGCGGTTTTCAGAACCCCTGAAAAAGAAGTTCAATGGAGTGATATATACAGGGTGTCCCAGAAATAAGTGCAAATATTTTAACTGGTAGTATAGTTCAACCCCAGAAACACGCCTATGAGGTTTTTTTTGCGAAAAAAAATGTTGAAAATTTAAAATTTTTCTTGACATTTTCCGGGGAATTTGAAAAAACTTTAAAGCCACTTGTTTATTCACCTGAGATTTCCCTACTGTGTATCTAAACCTGCAGTGTTGCAACCTCCTATGTTATCCATATTCTACATAGTTCGGCGGAACATAGTTCTACATTTATAAATTCATAGACAAATTTCTACTCAAAAAATTAGAATGTTAAATTTAATCTTTTATCAGTGCTCATTATTAATAATTATAGAAAAAACACATTAATTATTTTTAGTACTTTACCCTTTCAATGAAAAATTAACAAAAACCACCGAAAATTAACTAAAACATTACGTTTATGACGTTTACGAAAATCTTTGTTATGCTTAAAATAACTGTATTTTGGAATAAATTTAATAAATGATTCATATTATTCATAATCAGGTCACAAAAAGAAATTCCTAAAATGTTTATCGTAATTTAGAATTCAATTCAAGAAATTTAGAACAGCCCAACGAATAATTGATTCATTTTTGTTTTGTTTGTTTTCTTTCTCATGTTTCTCTGTTTTATTTAAACCACTGTTTTTAAACACCTTGAAAGCGGTATTACTTTGAATTTTCGAATGGTCATCGCTGAGAATTATTTTTATTCACTTTACGAACTACTTTCAATCTAAAAATACATGTTTCACTCAACATTATTGACAACGTATTTTGTTTTTTTTCGCTATTTTTTCATTGTATTTCGACAATTCCATCGACAGCCTAACCGGTCGTTCTTCTCTGCCCTAACCGTCAGCCAAGAACCGCCGCGTGTGAATTTGAGTCGCCGGTCGCCACGCCGCGCCGTGGCGAGCTTGCGTCAGACGACGATATTAAGCAACGTTGTTAGAATGATTCAAATTATTGAAGAATCACTCGTATTAAATTTAAAATAAACAGAGAAACATGAAAGGACAAACAAAATAAAAATGAATTACTATTCGTCATTGTTTTCGATGTATTGATTTCTGAATTACGATAAACATTTTAGAAATTCTCTTTTTGTGCGCCCTTTATCAATAACCAATTCATTTGTGTTTTGTTTGTTTCCTTCATGTTTTTCTGTTTTATTTTAAACTTAATAAGAATTTGATTACTTCGAGTGTCTTGAATTTGAAATTGTTGAAACTACGGCAAACTCGCATGACGCAAGCTCGACACGGCGGCGCACAAAGGAGCAGTTACCAATGATGCGCCGCTCTCTTGGCCGGCGGCTGACGCGGCGATTGGGCTGTCGATGGAATTGTTGAAATATTATAGAAAAAATAGCGAAAAACAAAATACGTATTTAAAATTGTTGAGTGAAACATGTATTTCTTAGATTGAAAGTAGTCGTAAAGTGGCGGTAAGAGACAATAATTATCAACATTTATTCATTCAGAAAGGTATTCAAAGTAATGTGTGCTTTTCAAGGTGTTTTGTAAATTAGTGATTCAAATTGTGATGAGGTCTATATGAAAATAATGTGTTAAAATGGGGACTGTTATTTTAGTAGTTATTATAATAACTACAGCATGTACAAGTAAAGCAGTACAGTGAAGTGTATTTTAGTTAAGTGTATATCGAAAAAGGGAACTGTCAGTTACATCGATCTGTCATAAGTATCTTTTTTAATGTTGGGTAAGTTTTAATTTAACTTTTTTAACACATTATTAAACATTTAACTTTTTAATTTATTTTATGTAATAATATCACAATCTTAAAATGTAATGCATCTCTGCAAACTCCTCAGGTGTGATTTTATGACTTACTTTAACATATACTTTCTTTGTCCCTATGGCAACACAGTGCGTCGAATTAATTGAAATCCGGGTTTGATCCGGGTAATTAGACGTAGTTGGCGATATCTGCCGGTGGTTCTCAAAATGTTGCGATTATTTTTTAAATTTTCAAAGTTAAATAACTCGGTTATTTTCAATTTAATTTAAAATGGTAAAGAGAAAATATGTTTATTTTGACCAGATCTACTCACCTAAAATATCTGCACTCATTTCTGGGACACCCTGTATATCAGGGTGACCTAGGTAGTTAGGATTAAACTATTTTCTGACCTTTTTAAAATGGTTGGCTTGGTTGCTCGCGCCCAAAATATAAATCAGTTACTTGCTTATAAGTTTATTAGACTCAATATAACATCCTAACATATTATATTTCTCAAAAATTCTAAATTTACCTATTTTTTTTTTATTATTTGTAACACACACACTTCAATCTGTTGAAGTGAAATGTCACGCATCCATCAAAGGCATGTCCCGATCACCATGACAACCGTTTACTTTGTTACTCGGCGGACTACTACTAACTGATATTTTAAGAAAAATTGTTGAGGTTACAAGTGAAAATAAATATAGAGTGTTATATATTTTCGAGAAGCCCATCCCAAGCTGAATCAGGAAATTTAAAATATACAGGGGGTTCTATTTAAAAAACAGAAGTATAGTTAATATCTAAAAAGTATTTTTTCGAAAGTCTGACTACGCCACTGCATTCTACATAGAAAAGTGCCTTTAGAATGTATAATCCATTTTCCGTGGTTGCTGAAAAAAACAAACTATAGCACATCTTCAAAAGTACAAATTTGTGAACCTCTGTAGCTTCGAAACCGACCAAGATAGCCACGATCCGTTTGCGGTATTGTGATTTTTTCAAAAATGAACCCGCGACTGCAGTATCAAAATTCTGAATATTTTACGGTTTCCTAGATACCCTATACCAACAACCAAAATGGTCCACCCTGTACATATGTGTATTACGATTATTGATTAAAATTGGAGGAAGAATTGAAATATGCATTAATATACAGGGGGCTGTATTAAAAAAAAATGGTTATGCCCTGTATACCTAATTTACTACAAGTAATAGAACATTTATAAAACCTAGAACTTTTTATATTTAACTTTTTGCGGTATCTTGTATATTTTACCTAATAATCTCGCTAATAATCGACCGTTTCCCTAAATATCAGCGACCCTGTATTTTTTTTTACCTTTATACTCTGAAAGGTTGGTAGAAACCTCAAAAAAATTCTCTCCAAGTAATGATTTTTTATTTTAATTTTAAAATGTTAATGGTTTTATATTTTTTCCTTATTATTAGAAAGAAAAAATCATATCTCGGTATCTACTATTTGGAAAAATATCTTGTCTCATCTTTGTAGGAAAGTGGAATTTTCTACAAAAAAGGTCTCTTACAATTTTTTTTGTAAACCTCACCGTTCGAACGCTATTAAAGGTTGAAAAATTTGGGATTATTTAGAAACAAATTTTTTTTCTTATGAATTTAATAACTCGTTAACAAAAAATCACTATGATACGCGCAATTCACGGTTTTTTGTAGATTCACCTGCTCTACGAAAATGGTTTCTTATGATTAATCGATTAAATTAACCGTTAAAAAGATATTCCTGTCAAAAGCTTCAAAATGCACAATAATTTTAACAGTTTTTGATTATATAATTCGATGACGATCCAATTTATTTTATGAGTTCCGGGAAAAAATTGTAACAAATTTGCGTTTTCTATGAACTAGAAAGAAAAGTTTAAACTTTTTCCTAGTTTTTTTAGTCCTAAGCACAAACAACAAACAAAAAAAAAAAATATTGCAGTTTTTTCAATAACTTAGAGTCAATGATTCATTAAAATTTCGAGTAAAAACATTTTTGTGGACAAATTTAATATAAAAAAGTTTTTTTTTTTTATAAAAAACAAATTTTATCAACGGAGATACAAAGGAAAAAATAGTAAACTGAAAGGCGGAGCACTACCTATTAAAGTTAAGAACTCATACTTGGAGAGAATTATTTTGAGGTGTCTACCAACCTTTTTTTCAAAGTAACGTGAAAAAAGTCATTTTCTTGATCCACCCTAATGTAAACTGATCGAAAAAAGTTAAGGATGTTGTGTTTTCGCTAAGAAACAAATTCTTCAGGAAAAAATGTGTTATAGCTATTAATACCTATGTCGTTTGTGTTTAAAAAAATACTGTTTGTAAACATAAAAAATTGTACCCAAACAAATAAAAAGCATTATCATCAAAAATGTACATTAAATTTTTGTTTAGAATAGAATATGTTTGCGTGTTGCTAAGCGGCAGTATGCGATATTGTGGTTATTCTGTCATCGATAATATGAATAGACGCCATTTAACAGTAGATGAAGCAAATCAAGCCATTGGGTTGCTTCTTGGCGGTGCGCGACAGATCGATGTGGCTGACCGATTGAAAGTCATCTAAAGTGTAATTTCTAGACTTAAAACCCGATTTAATGAGACTGAATCTGTCATAGAAGGCATAGGGAAGGTAGACCAAGGTCGAAAATGCTAGGGAGGACCGAAGCTTAATGGGAGGAGCTAGGATGGATCCTACAAGAAACTACACGTTGCTCAGCCAGGACCTTTTGGCTGCCAGCAGGGTACGTATTGACCCTCGGACGGCCTTAAATCGATTAAAAAAGCCGGTTTACATTGATATAGGCCTATAAGACGGCCTTCGTGATTCTCCAATGATAGCGTCGGCATAAATTTCACCTGTCATTGTACCTTCACAGATATACAATTCCATTCGGCCTCCGCAGAAAATTCCACCCCAGACCATTACACCTCTAACTCCAAAGGGATGTCCTTCTTGAACATATCGGTCGTTAAGTCTTGTATTTCTTAATCTCCACACACGAACTGTACGTCTGTCAGTACAAAGAAAAAAACATCTTTCATCGTTGAACATCGCAGTATGCCATTCATCATTCCAGTTAGCTCTTTCATTACACCAGAGCAAACGTTGAGCTTTATGATCTCAACCTTACTCTCGCGGTCAAGGGAGGGCGCCTTATAGGCCTATAGCAATGTAAACCTGCTTTTTTTTAATCGATTTAACAACGTGCGAGGGGTAATACGTACTCTGCTGGCAGCCAAAAGGTCCTGGCTGAGCAACGTGTAGTTTCTTGCAGGATCCATCCTAGCACCTCTCAGTAAGGTTTGGTCCTCCCTAGCATTTGTCCGACCTTGGTCGACCCCCCCCTCCTATGCCTCTCCATTGCAGATCCAGTCTCATTAAATTGGTTTTTAAGCATAGAAATTACACTTTAGGTGACTTTAAATCGATCAGCCACATCGATCTGTCGGGCACCGCTAAGAACCAACCCAATAGCTTGATTTGCTTCCTCTATTGTTAAATGATGTCTGTTCATATTATCGATGACAGAATAACCACAATATCGCGCCGCTTAGCAACACGCAAACAAGTTCTATTCTAAACAAAAATTAAATGTACATTTTTGATGATAATGCTTTCTATTTGTTTGGGTACAATTTTTTATGTTTACAAACAGTATTTTTTTAAACACAAACGACATAGGTATTAATAGTTATAACACATTTTTTCTGAATTTTATTTTCCTAGCTAAAACACAATATCCTTAACTTTTTTCGATTAGTTTATATATTTTTTCTATACAGAATGTTTCAAAATAAATAAAACTTTAGGGGTGATTATTTAGTAAAAATATTTTGTTTTTTTATAAAAAGTCAACCATTAGGGATATATTAGCGGTACAAAGATAAATATAGACAGCCTGACTTTCTTTTACCTCTTATATTTTTTTTCATAAACTTTCAGGATTTGAAATTAAAAAATAAAATGTAATTCATTACTTTTCGGGAAGGTAAATATTTCTCAAAAAAAATCCAGTGGGCTGTATAATAAAGTGATATTAAAAACGCTCGCATATTGAACGCTTTTAATATCGCTTTTATACATTCTGAGTTAGTTTAAACACAATACATTTTTATGATTGAATTATACATAAAAATTGGATTTGAAATATTTTTAATGATTTTACATAGAAGTTCCGTTGAATAATATATCGTCGCTGTAAAGTCAAAACCTCGTATCTCCAAATTTTGAAATTTCGAGTGTGTAAAATATTTCAGTAAATATGTCCGCGTTCTATGTAACACCTCGTATCAAGATTATTTGAGGACTGAAGCGTATAGGAAAGAGCGTTGTCAAGTTCTTACATTTGTACCAGCTCTGTTAAAATTTTGCTGATATTTATTTATTCTTTCACCTCTTAATTAAATCTATTACCTTTTTCAAAAGATACAAATTTTTAAAATAAAACTTTCGTAATGATATAAATTGTACAATAAAAAGTATGGAACTGATACGGAACGGAAGCTTACGTATAGCGTCAATACAATAAAAAATACGGAACGGATATGGAATGGATATGGAATGGATATGGAATGGATATGGATATGGATATGGATATGGAATGGATATGGATATGGAATGGATATGGAATGGATATGGATATGGAATGGATATGGATATGGAATGGATATGGATATGGAATGGATATGGATATGGATATGGATATGGATATGGATATGGATATGGATATGGAATGGATATGGAATGGATATGGAATGGATATGGAATGGATATGGAATGGATATGGAATGGATATGGAATGGATATGGAATGGATATGGAATGGATTTGGAATGGATATGGAATTGATATGTAATGGATATGTAATGGATATGTAATGGATATGGAATGGTTATGGAATGGATTTGGAATGGATATGGAATAGATATGGAATGAATATGGAATGGATATGAAATGGATATGGAATGGATATGGAATGGATATAGAATGGATATGGAATGGATATGGAATGGAAACGGAAGGTATAGTGAGAATCAACTTTTATTCGGATGCGTAGTGAATAACGTCTAACCTTAGGTGTTGCCATTTAACGCGGACATATTTACTGAAACATTTTACACTAGTAAATCTCAAAAGTTGGAGATACGAGGTTTTGACTTTCCAGCGACGATAATACAAAAGATGGGTTAGTTTAAAACATGTTTGTTAATAAATTATTTTTAAAATATGTTTTTCTAAGAAAATTTAACATTGGTATTAGTGGCGTGCCTATAGTGTAGGCCCTTCCTCTAGAAAGTGCGATCTTGTGAGCAACGGCAACGACTTTCAATGGCAATTAATTTGTTCTGAAACACCGCGTATACGGATATTTGATGTTTTTGAAAAAAAATTGTTCTACTTTTGTATTCAAAATAAGAGATACATACAAGGATCCGTTGCAATGCATTGACAGACTGATTGGCTACAGGTATGCCGTTGATTTCTCGAATTTCATCACCAACATGCAGGGTAGCCTGGCGATGTATCATGCCACCATGCATGATCCTCGCCACTATACATTTTGCATCTTCGTCCATCTTCAGCGTTATACCCTAAAAAAAAAAGAAAAAATATAAAGCATTTTAGAAAGTAGTGTCTATACAAAAAAATACATTTTATGTTTTACATAAACCAAAAGAATATAAAATTTAATAAGGAAGATCGTAAATGGTGATTTTAGTATTTGATTAAATAATGAAGATTTTTTCGCCATGTTAGCAAGAGAGTCTTACAGTCTTATGTCTAGGAGTGAAATACTATAATGGCGATCTTGATAACTTATTCTGACTTTCATTCTATTTTATTAGAAAATAATTGATTGACGGGGAGCGAACCAACTTACGTCATACTCTGTAAACTCCTGCTAGTACTTACCATAGGTTCGTCGGTATTCTTCTGGAACTGCACCAATCTCACCCTGGTGACGTTCTCCATTTCCAGGTCGCCATTGGGGCCGTCCAGTTCCTCCCCACCATTGAGGTAGGGTAGGAGTGGGGGAGGGGTAACTCGTACGGCGTCTTCTCCATAGACTTCGTGCGCTACAACGTCGTGGGCTTGCAGAAGAGCCTGCAAAAGAACAAATACTGCTTTTAGTATGCATGAATACGCACAGGTTTAATAGGGAGAGTTCTTACAATACGTTAAAGAAGCACGACACTTCTGTAGATATTTACGATATACCCAACCCCGAGAAATCCAGTTTTACAGTATACAGGGTGGTGCACCTCATTCGACTCGGTTGATTATACGAAAACAGAAAGATGTAGAAACAAAATTTTTATGAGTATATGTAGAGAGGAAATGTGCATAATTTAAAATTATTTTCAAATGTACAGGGTGTGTCAGAACTAAGATCCATACCAAAGTTATATTTTTTCTTATGGAATTCCCGGTATTTTATTTCGTTTTTGGGGATTCTTGGGCAAAAAATAAGGCATTTATTACAAGAGTTTAATATTTTTAAATGCCTTCGTTTTTTAGATATTTAGATATATTTAAATATGCATGCTATAATAAAACAGTTTGTCAATACCCTGTACATCATTTTAGAGTTAATTCTTAGACTGACTTTGAAGCCAGAGAAATAAACTTAATTAAAAAAATTAATTGCTTCCTTATGTATACAGGGGTATCAAAAATACAACACTATGTATTTTTTAAAATAAGTCGATGCAGATTTGAATGCTCTCTCAAACTATATTAGAGTTTCCTATACCTATCTAGCTCAGATTTTGAATAAAAAGCGATTTTTTAAGAAAATGGCAATCAACATGTCTGGTGTGGTAGGATATTTAAATATCTTTAAATATCTCGAAAACCAAAGCTTTTGGACATATTAAACGCTTATAATATATGCCTTTTTTTATGTCATAGAATCCAAAAATTAAATAAAATACCAGGTGTTCCATAACTTTGCTGTGGATCTTAGTTCTGACATACCCTGTGTATTTCAAAATAATTTTAAATTATGCACATTGTCTTCCAATAAAACCCATAAAATATTATGTTTCTAGATCTTTCCGTTTTTGTATAATTAAACGAGGCGAATGAGGCGCGAGACCCTTTATATTAAAAAAAAACGACAATATGTATTCACCGATATCCGAATATGGTAGGTAAACCTTTAAAATCACAAAAACTGTTAGGTACTAAAAAACACAAAAAACACGCAACATAATTGCATCAAATTTCGTTTGAATTTTCTCTTTATTCTCATAAACTAAATCATGTTATAGAGAACTGGCAAACTGCTAACATTTAACTGTCAATCAAATTAATGAATCGATCAATAGGTGGCTTTGATAATTTTCAAATGGATATTAATCTCCAGTTCAACTTCATCATGTATTTTACTATTTGACATTAAAACATAAAATACATGGTGCAAATAAAGAAGGAAAGAAAAAGGAAGATAATTGCTTTAAAAAAAATAAAAGAGAGTTCCGTATAAAATGTTCCGATTTGACGTTTAATTATAAAGTTATGTGCTAGCATATAAGTTTATATAAGGAAATTACAGTATAATTCTCAATTTGCACAAACATTTTCATCAGACAAAGTGCGTTAATGTATTTTAATTAAAAAAGCTGACAGACGCCTACTATTTTTTTAACCAATTAAAGTCTGGTGTATAAATATGGCTTAAGCCCACGGCCACATAGAAGCATTTTTTTTTGCGTGTTTGCGTATAAAGCGCTTTTGCGATTTTATCGTTTGAAGCTTTTATTTCGATTTGTGTCCATTAAAAACAGGTCTCCAGTTTCTATCAAGCTGTCGATTAGTAAGGAAAAGCTCTTGGAATTCCCGGCCCGTTCAACAATCAATCCTTTGAGAAAGATATAGGCGAGATCGGCGCGGTTAGCGTTGAAAAGACGAAGATGAAAGATATGCTCGAATCGAACGTTGAACGGGGTGCATATTAGACGACAAACGCAATCTACTGCTAGTGCCAGTGGCGTGTGTAAAAATAATTATTATTATTTGCCATTTATTTTAGGAATTTTAGTTTATTTGTGTATAGATTTTTTATGTTAGACTAGTAAATATTACTAATTGGTAACGCAATTTTAGGACATGATTTATCAAACTTTTTGAAGTGAAATTTTTTTGACGCCTGCTTGGGGTAAAATTTCAAAGCCGTGACATACGAGCTAGCGAGATGGCCCTCCCAAGTAACAAAATTCCGACTTCCGACTAGTTTTGACTACGCGCAACGTTGAAATTGGTACTTTTCCCTGCCCTATGCATACCCAAACCTCAAATTACGTAGCCAAAACGTCGCTACGACGTTGCACTTAAACAGTTGTATATTTTGACTCTTAACAAAGTTGGTAAACGTTGTAGGGCACAACGTTGTTAGAAGTGGGGTTTTATATCGTTTTCATTACGTCACCAGAAGGCACGTTTATTGTACTGCAGAATAACAAACGTAGTACAATGTTGTGCAACGTACTTTTAAATTACGAGTGTAAGTACATACTAACTACAACGTAATACGTTTCATTAAACGACCCAAAGCAACTTCAAAATTATAATAACCAATTACTACGTTGGATTACGGCGACGAGCGCGACGATATCGATTTTTGTTGTGGAAGCGGAACTATCTACACCTAACCTCAAAAAATTCTGTACTGTACTGTCACAGAGCAATTGGTTAGGTATTTTTTCTGTGGTACTTACTGTGTAAAGCAAAAAGCAGATGTATAGGAAAAAAGTATATAAATACTGTACAACTTTTTATAGGAAAGGAAAAAGTATTTAGAAGAAAGTAAGCGAGCAAGTCAGTGTCCGAAAAATGAAGTGGAAATAACGAGTTTAGGTTCGTCATCCACATCCTCGCAATGTGCTACAAGTGGTAGCTTATCATCAATGGATACTATAGAAATAAATAACAGTGCACCTGAAGCCCATACAACAGAGGAATACTGTGAGAATAATGATCCTCCAGAAGAGCAGTCAACTGAAATTCATCCTGACGTCCTTTCGACCAAAAAATAAAAACATTCAAGTCAGTGGAGTGTGCAAAATAATATATCCCATTCAGCTGTAAACTAGCTTTTAAAAGGATTATCATCTTGTGCAACAATACTTCCTGTACGGCTTTTTTAACAATAAATAAATAGAAATACTGATCTAATGTCAGCGATCTTATTAACGAGTATGTGACCACCACCACCAAAAGATGACCCAGCTTTCTTCTTTATGTCGGTAGGGTTCAGAGGTCCTATTTCGTCAAAGCAGGTGTCAATTTCTGAACCAAAGGTTGGCATAGGTGACCCAAAGGTCGGTTACCGCACCTTATGCACTATATTGGTATTTTAAAGGTTGCCTTAGGCAACTCCGCCATTTTAATACGATTTATCTTTTCGGGCGTTGCACAGTGATCAGAATCTGCGTTCTAGCCCTCCAAAAGTCACTTATGCGCATACGACCGATGTAGTTAAAACTTGTCTGGACATGTTCCAGAGAACATAAATCTTTCAGTATCGATCGAATGTTTCACATGAAAAAATCCCAAGCGGTAGAGTATTGCACCAAAACGACAAGAAAAAACTTGTGTAATAGTTTCACCACTTTAGTGTTAGTTTATCTGTTATTTACCTATTTAATACAGAGACACAGTTTTACCTATTTAATACAGAGACACAGTTATAAGTTTTGATGTAAGTGTGATATGGAGATATTACCTGAAGGTAAGTCTATTATTCTGCCAGGCGTTTTCCGATTTACATTCAGTTATTCTTTTTTAATAAATTTTCAAATGCAGCGCTGTTTATATGATACAAAAAAATTAATTTTAATTTTGATGAAGCTGCTATTTTTTCGCAATGTTTTGCAACAACTTTTTTTGATGTTTTTATTTAGCTTACTTAGTCCCTTACCTGAATTTGCAACAATCATATCCATACTGATCCATCCCTAATTTATATGATTTTTTTAGTACCAGCCGGCGGCTAACCTTAAGAAAAAGTACCAACAGTGGCTAAACGGTTATGTTGCATTTGAAGACGTCTTACAAAAGCAAGAGGCCGTCTCACAAAAGTGTCACAATACGCCCTCATCTTCGTATGGAAGACCAAAAGTTGCATTTGCTGAGTCGTCTGAATCTACCAAAGACGAAGGATTCAAGAGTTGCTTGAGATTGACAAAGATGAGCTTTTAGCTATGCTACAATAAGCCTCTCTTCGCCGTCATCAGGGCTTACGAACTGCAGCTGATTTAGTGAAAACTGTTTCTGAATTCCCAGAAGAAGCAAAGAATTTGAAGAAACTTTCAAAAACGCAGAAAACCCCTACTAAGTTCACGGCAGACGAAGCATTAGCTAATAAAAATAAAATTAACGAGATCCCAATATGCAGCAGGTATCAGCAGAGAGATAGCAAAGAGCACAACGCCGACATATATCCCAACTATAACGAAGTACTGTTGGCGAAAGAACGCTGCTACCCCTGTAAAGACATGACCATCACTGAAATTTCTCAGCCGAAGTGATGTTACAGTCGCTTCTTGACCACACGTGAATCGTTTATTGTTAGTGCAACAAGATGTGTTAGTACAAGTTTACGAAAATTCTAGAGGTAGTACCTCAAAAATAAAAGCTTTGTATAAATGGGGTTGCGACGGAGCAGCTGGGCAGCAGAATTATAAACAGAGATTCACTACAGAAGGAAGTAGTGAAGGATATGATGACTCATTTTTGTTTGTCATTTCATGTGTTCCCCTTCGCCTCCTTGGTGAAAACGATGTAATATTATGGCAAAATCAACGCCCGTCATCTACATCCTTTTGCAGGCCTATCAAGCTCTTATTTAAAAAAGAAACTGAAGAACTTGTGCGTTCCGAAGTCGCAAAAATAAGGCAGCAGATAACCCGGTTGCAATCGACGTTAGTTTGTATTAATGATTTGAACTTTGAAGTGACTCATTCTTTGAATCTTACCATGATCGATGGAAAGATTGGAAATATTCTCACAGAAACACCATCGTCTAAGTGCTTAATTTGTAAAGTTAACCCGAAAGCAATGAATGATCTAAGTAGTCATTCTAAAAGAGCTAGAGATCAGGA